AAACAACTAACCACGTTGGATAAGTTAGATACCCTGTGGAAAATGTATGAAGATGTGCAGACGTGGAGGGAATAACCAGCAAACCGCGCACCGACGTGTGTCCTGGTGTGATAACGAAATGTCTGCAAACCAATAGCCAGCCTTGGTAAACAGACCACAGTTAGTGTTTTGCGTAATTCTGTGGATTTTCCGGCAGTCACCGGTGTGAAATGACAAGGACAATCGACAGACTCAGCCATTGACTGCACAGAAGATCTTGCTACTTCTAGTCCCACCTAACATTTGTGGTCATTTTGGCGCACTCGATATCGGTCGTTTTAAAAGCTGTCCTCATGCTTAAGCTCAGGTGATTGGCTGGAAACGTTCAAAATCCAGCAAATCGTTCGCCATGTTCCGATAGTTTCAAGATCTCTTGACCAACAACAAGAGGTGCATACACAATTCCTCCTCGGTAGAGTTAGACAAAACAATCATGGAGGTGTTAATACCAAGCATAAAATGCTAAGTTCCTCGCAATATTATTGAACAGATGGAAACAGAGCTTCACTTCCGGAGCCCTCACGCTCAATCGTCCAAAATTAATCTGTCCATACCTGAAGGTAGAACAGCTGAAGCTGATCTCAGTTCTATATCAGAGGTCAGACAACTACTAATACCATAACAGAGACTCATTAAATTGCCTGCAAGCGAATCACCATAACTTGTTAACGAGACCAGGTAAGACAGGGATCGTGCCAATGGATAGATCAGACCAGGTTCAGAAGATGTTTAAGGGAAAAAGACAAAACATAAACTACTGAAAAAGCTATTTTCAAAGCACTATGATGTATGAAAAAGACTGAGCAGATTGAAACTAGCATATTTTGTGGTATCCACCCAGCCGACAAGATGATTTCGAGACTTTACCAGCTTTCCAGACTGCAAAAACCAGGTCTACCCATGTGAAATATCCCTGGCATGCCTAATTCGTCCTACCCTGGCACCGAAAGGGCGCTACACCTGAACGACTATCTTTTATTAATATTTTTTAGTTCGTCCAGCCATGTGATGGCAGTGGTCTTCCGGCTCACTGGAGTGTACCAGATACGAACAAACATTTCATCTCCTCAAGGACAACTTTGAGTTTGTCAACCAATTCAAGAAATTTCACTTAGCTATTTAGAATATGGTTTCCTCACTTTCTGCGAATAAGTCCTACCCTGCACCGAAAGGGCGCTACGCCCGAACGATTATCTTTTATTAATATTTTTTAGTTCGTCCCGCCATGTGATGGCAGTGGTCTTCCGGCTCACTGGAGTGTACCAAATACGAACAAATATTTCATCTCCTCAAGGACAACTTTGAGTTTGTCAACCAATTCAAGAAATTTCACTTAGCTATTTAGAATATGGTTTCCTCACTTTCTGCGAATAAGCTAATAAAGAAAACTGAAGACTATATTTACAACTTTAGTGAGTACAGTGGGAGACGTTGGCATTACAACCAGTGCAGCTGTGCACGTGAAACGTTCGATTACGGTACATCAGCGATATTTACCGATGGAAGTTGGACTAGCTATGAGACCTCCATTAGGTTCCGTCTTGGGGAATGTATTATGTAAGTAGGCCTTTAATGCACTTTGGCCAGTCATTGACAAATTCGACTTTTACCGAAGATATCTTGAGGATATATTCAACAACTTAGTGGGATAGAATCGTATTCCCATGTGTGGGCTTCACAAGATCTCAGACGATTCTCCGAATTTCGACCCCAATCTGGTGTATAACTGATGGTGTATGGTAAAATTTCAAACAATCGGCGTGTATGACCAACTTTTTTTGACGGAATAGAGGCAGCTACGTGTCGTTCTTTACATCACCCTCCTAGGAACGTAATCTTTTCAGATGCTTCAAGAGTTGCTCGTACCATTTATGGGATTCCTGTGGCCTCAGGAACAGAGGCTTTATTGAGGAATTACTATCCTAGTGCGTTTATAAGACTTATGTTTGCCTACAAACTGATCTTCCTGTGAAGGCAGTTACTCTTGTCGGTCTATCTGCACCAGATCACTTCAGGAGCAACAAGCGCCGATGGGAATACGACTTCTGAGCACACATGGGTAGCAAAACGCTAGCCGACAGTCACGAATGTTTTCGAGGGAAAAACCACCGTCAAACAATTTAGGTAACCTATCACATCTTTTCCAGTGTACATAAATGTACAAAGGGATGGCAGCCAGTTGCAAGGTACCCACAGGGGGAAGCGAACCTGCCCAGCAAAAATTTGCTGTCTGGTGAAGTAATAAAGCAAACATTATTTAAGCTTTTCTTCTGAGTTATCAAAATGCAACATAAGACTTCACATCGTTTGTCAGCGTTCCCGAATTGAGTGGTAGTTTAAATCCGTGTCTCTAGATGAGTCTCATAAATGCTGACCATGCAGTCGGCCGTCTTTCACTATGCTTCTGGTTGAAACAGTGCACTTTTCATGAACAGTTTCGCCAAATTGCGTGTTCGTCCTAACTTAACTGAGCCCGAGGTATTTGTAGAGCACTTGATTTCAACGCAGAACAGCTGTAGAAAGTTCTGCTGCTGGTCGTACCAAGTCAGCCGACGACATTCATGCACGCTAAAATCTGACCAAGTTCTATCCCCACCAACGAACATCCCACTGTCAAAAATAGTGCGCATGACACGACTAGTAGCGCGTTAGGATTGACCGCCTTGTTCACGTGTGCAGATTTGTACGCATCCCGTTATCTGTTTGCGATAACCGACAACCGTCGTCTCAGGTTGGATATCCACGCGAACCATTCACATGTCGCTTCGATGAGTCGTGGAAATCCGCTGAACAAGAAACCACTCAGAACCGTGAGCACATTAATAGACACTCAAGGATTACATATAGGAGTGGTGGGGTCCGGAGAAGTAATTCAGTATCAAACTAATTTGGTTTTTCGAGAGACTCACCTGGAACCCAGCTGAATCTCTCATTCGTGATGTTCTAAGGCAACTGAATGTGCTGCACCAGGCCGCCTCATGTTTCAGTCATCACGAACGAGATTCAGCTGGGTTCCCTGTGTCTCGAAAAACCAAATTAGTTTGCAAATGAGTGTATATTCGCGAATTTCGTGCAATTTGGTTTCAAGTAGAACATAAGGTTGACGGAAACCCGGGGACTGCGCCTACCTGATGAGCCCCAAGTAGGGCGAAACCGGTCGTGGGATGTCGACGGATTTTCATCAACCTTATGAGTAGTACATTACAAAGATAATTCAGTACCAGTTTTGTCCCGGTCGGGACCCATCAGGCTTCGATCGACTGGTGTCTAGATAAATAGCTGAAATCGCTAACAGCTTCTTACTATAACGAGTAGCGTGATATACCCAATATTCGTGGAATATCCGTGGAATAATTACAAATGAACCGAAGACCCACAGCACCAGCAGTCAGAGATCCTTTATCAGGGGCGTCAGACAAACAAGTTTGAACATGATGATCATGTGCTAGTAGAGCAGCATTAACGCACTTGTCGGACTTATAAGAAAACTGAAGTTCGAATCCCATTCGGTACAGCCAGAATGGGCGTCACCGACGGACCAAAATGTAACCCGAATCTAATGTGTACTACTCCTTCGGCCGGAAATATACACGATTATCGGGGTAGGAAAGAACTGAGTGCACATGCACAGTCCGCCGACCGGCAGACTCCCAACAGCATAATCAGTAGAGGATAGAAGTCGCGAAAACAACATAAAACTCTTGATTGAAGTCAATTTCTCGAAATTTACTTGTTCCGTAAATCTTGGAAGTCGATGAACCACGCAAATATGCATCGGTTGAAAAAGGTGAAGAGGAA